CCTCTGAGTGAGGATATGTTCCAATTTCCGACTTTAAGCTCCCACTGGCGGTGTCGTTCTTGTGGAGCCTTTTCTGAGTGCTATAATGGCATCGCGTTGTCTCCCTCCTCCTTGCAGAACGGGTAGCGACTCCGTTGCTCACTGATATCTTTGTCGTCTTTCCGTCGATCTTCGTCAGCCGTTGTTCTGCTGCTACGTCCCCGGCTAGCTGAAGGCAAAGAGCAGTTTTTGCTCGCCGATTTTTCACAGCCTGCGCGGCCGGTTTTTACCCGGGCGAATACCGAGCTGGTATAATTTTCGATGACGTCCATACCATGAAGATCAGGTGACTAACTTTTATGGATACTTCGCCACCTTCTCCACCCTTCCTCCTTTCTCAACTGGCCTTGGGACCGGCAACGCGTCGTTGAGTTCATAGGCTTCCGAGGCGGTTGCTGTATTAATTTCTAGAATTATGTGTATTAGTGATTTTCGGCTTTCGAACCTTATTGTTTTATGTTTAAAACTTGCACGCCATCGCGTTTTGCAACTGCTGTCTGCAAGGTGAAATTTCAAAGAATTATGAATAAAGCCATTATAGCATGCAATATTTTGTCTTTCTTTACCTGGGCCTGTGATAAGGTGAACCCTGTAGTTGTGTAGCAACATTATGTTATAAAAGTATGATTTTTCTTTATGGTTGTTACCACAACTTTCTTTTTACAGCAGCGTGACGTCTGATGCGTACTTACCTGTGCATCTTTTCGGTTGTCTGGCGAACCATCGTTTCGGTTGTTGGCTTCTGTATCAAACAGGAACCATCGCGCAGCTTTTAAAGTGCCTTCATGCCACTGAATTGTCGAACGAAGATAGTATTTTCCACTTAAAAGCCACGATGTGGGCACTTGTAAGTTCGCTTTTATAGTGCGACAGACTTGGCGTGTTTTATAGAAAGCAGACCTGATGCTGTGATTGTTTAGTGATTTTTTTTGAAATATACTTCATGGTAGCATTGTGTTGTCTGACAATCTTTAGCATGAAAATGAGTAAATACTGTTTGAATAATGGAAAATTCAGGAATACAGGAAAATCTAAAGCTGCTGCCCTACAACCCGAAAGATTAGGAGGGTTGTGAAATAGATGAATGATTTACGGGGAATCAGAACCATTAGAAACAATGCCCAATTTTGCTGTCCAGTTTCCCCTCCCAGCTTCATGGCAATTGTGACTGTGAAATTCAATGAGTCGACATTTCCTAGAGGCTCGTTTCATTGGTGGGCTCAGTTATGTTCCTTGTCTTTAACTATTCTTGCCTTCAGAATATGTTTTAAATGCGTTCCTAAGAATGTTGTGAATTGATATCCTATTAAGAATTTTTCAGTGAGATTTTGCCGATTGAGTCGGTAAGTTCGGTGTAGAGTTAGACTGCTTTGGGGTAGCTTTGCCAGATGAAATGCATCTTCTTTGTATATAT